CAATTACTATTTACGGAACTGAGCCACATAAAATTGATCTTTTAAATGTCTATTATATGATTCAGCTGTATTTGTAGTCCGTATAATTTCATTATACAACATTTCAGCACACATTTTAGAAGGAAATGTACTAGAATAAATATATGTTTCTAAAATGTAATCAGTCTATTAGTTAATTGATTGATCTTTAATCAATGCTATGGACATTAAATCTGCAATACATCAAAGACTTGTGACGGTGCACGGAAGAAAAACCAAACAAAAAAGAATTTTGGCGCTCTCGTAAGATACGATTATTTTTTTTTCTTATCTTATTTTGGCGCTTATGTGTGTCACCAACCCAGGTACTTATGTCACTTGTTTATGGCGAAGGGCTTAATAGCATATTTATTGCATTATTATCATTCGTGAGTGACACCGATGTTTTCGATTTCTAACGGTAAACCATCACGTCATAATTCATTTCAATGTGCGTCAATTCACACCCGCGGCCGCACTAATGATTTATTACAATTATCATCATCGTTCGGCGAGCAGTGCGTGGTATCCGTTGGCCAGGAGAAGGGTGGTCTACGAAAAGCACCAGATAAGAACTCCGTAACCTAATGCCACCGTTCCCCATCCGTATCTACAAACTCTGAATGATTATAAATAATATTAGACTGTCAGAGTCGATACTTCCACACATTTTTTTAAACACCGACGTTTTAAAAACGATGGAGTATAATCAATCTTGTAAAAATGTTTTTAAAATCGTATTATTAAAAATAATAGTTAAATAGTTAATAGCTTAAGCTCTATTTTTTTTATCGAGCATTGAATCATAATATTAATACCAAAAACACTAATTTAATTCGAATAATTACATAACCTTCAGTTATGTAAGTATTTTCGGTCGGTAGGGATTGATACGTGGAATGTAAATCGTAAAGTTCGTATTGAACTATTTTAATTAATAGACCGTACTCTTGGTGGTATATATATATAAATTATTTTTAAATTATAAAAACAATTTTGTAATTTATGTTGAAAATAGTCAATAAATTGTTGTGATCGAAAAGTCTGTGTCTTTGAATTGTACATGATATATTAAATATCATATTAATATGATGTATTAAAATACATCGATTTACTGACTGTTTATCAATCGTTTTGATAGTTTAAATATAATTGACGTATTAAATGTTATCGTTTAGATGAAAACGACCATGACGATATTTTGCGAAATTAGATATGTCTATTGTTCAAAATTTTTCTCTCGCGTTTGAAACATATAAAATCCAGAATCTTTTGAAAATGTCGGTACACAAAAGAGAGGGGAAAAAATTATGTCAATGTTTTGGATAAGCTGTCGTAGACCAAGATATTTTGACCGTTGAACAGGTTATTTGTACTATTGTACCTTGTGCGATTGGAAATCTTTGGAAAAAATGTTACGCGACTGTAAAAAATATAAACAACTATGATTTGTGGACGTACTTGCGTTGAATACTTTAAAAACGAACCGACACCATTTATGAAAATTATACGGCGTGATCATTTACTTCGTTAACGTTATGTTACATTTTTTTGTTGAAAGGCTATTATTGAAATGGAAGTTTTCGAATCAGAGAAATATGTTATGTGCTATGCAACTTACAATGTGTTAAATTAATACACCAGTTTTGAGCTTTGGATTAGGTCTTATCGATTTTTAAGTTTTTTTTGACTGACTAAACTACTATGGATTATTCAAATAAAAATATTGATAGAATATCTTTGTTAGTTAACCATAAGTTAGTTATTACTTTAGTTAAGCCACGCTCATAAATATCGATTTTTAACCAACAGATAACATGACTTTTATTGAACTGTTTCCGTATTAATAATAACTAATAAGCATTACAACTTCAAGAATATTATTTTCAGTGCGTGATAGATTTGTTTATTTTCATATTTAATATTAATTATTAATAGTCAAATCAAGCCCGTATTCGGCTGAAGTCTAAGGGGGTCACTTATTTTGATCTAAAATGATATACTCGTATAAATAATTCTTAACATTACCCTAAGCTTAAGGATAAGTAAGAAATTACTGTTGACAAAATGTTTGAATGTATCGAATTCATTAATGGTTAGTACACAAATACTTATTATAAATAAGAAATATCTTATCGTATAGCTATAAAAAAAAGTCGACACAGAAAAAAAAATGAACAATGGAATAATCTTCACCTCTAACCCTTCGAATATGTTCTCGATTTGAATATTGATTGTAATGATTCCCATTATTGAACGGAATGTGTACCGTAAGCGTTCGAAGTACCTATTTCAGAGCGATTGTCACAACCAACCGTGTAACCCTTTTCGACCGCCATGTCGGCCCATCAATACACCGCAGACAAACATAATATTATATTAATATTTTTGCGCACAACGCAACGGACTAGCACGAATGGCAAATCAAACATTTCGTCAGGCTACTCCGCACGTGTGGAATCGATCGCACGTACGTGCGTGGACCGACAAGTACGGCTTACACAATGCATTTTACTCCGTGAGGGTTTTTTAATTTTTTTTGGGTGTGAGGGTAGTCGTTTGATATTATTTTATATTAAGACGTAAAAGTGTTTAACCAATTAATAGTTTATCACTTGACATGTTATCCTTATTTAAACGAAAAAAAAACAATATAGCGTTTTAAATCCAAGCGTTCCGAGAAAGGTCATAAATGTCTACCGGGGGAGGGGAAAAAACGACCCACTTAGATTCATCAAAGGAATAAAAATAACCTTATAAAAAACGTATATTTTCATATAAAATTATTGTATATTATTTGAGAATTTGAATACAAATAGTATTATTATTAAAAATTAAAATACAGTTTATTTAATTTTAGATAGTTTCTAAAGTAAGCACATTAGAAAATGCGTCTATGTCTATCGACACAATGAGCCTAAACCGATAAACCTAAAAAAAAAAAAAAAAAAACTCCCAATGAGTAAAAGTGGCCTAATTCAAACAAGCGGCCCACCGGAAAACTCCCGGTTTCCCGTTTGCCCAGTTTGGCCCTCGTTGCGAGCGAGTAATTTATCAAAGCCTAAGCATGGGACCTGACCTGTGGGAGATCCAGGCCCTCTGGATCCCTTCGTAAAACTATAACTGTTATCATTTGCTTATGATGCACGCGGCGAATGCGCGATACAATTGTATACACGGGAACAGGCCCGTAGCACGAGTAAGTCATTAAGGTAACATACAATTTTAAAGATATCATCAAGGCGGAAAAATTAGATAAATATCGACCATGGATGACAATAATCTTTGTTAAGCGTCTTTTTCGTTATCATATAAGTTTTATTAGCGGTTACAGCATATTGCGATTACGATTTGTAAAACGTATTCAATAAAGAGTGGAAAGTATCTAATGACGGGCCTGGCAATGCGTAGTTTACATTCTAGTATAGAAATAGGTTGACGCGCGGTCGAACTTCACGAGAAGAACGTTATTTGTGTTCAGTTGAAAGTTCTTTGTTTCACGAAATTTCAATTTATGTCATGCATGATAAGCGCGTATATTACAGTAAAAAAAAAAAAAAAAAAATACTCTCAACTCGCTTAAAAATGGAAATACCGTGAAAATCCAAAATTCCATCCGAGAAGCCGCAGATAATGTTCTGCCGTTTAAGTTCGGCAGTACGCCAGTTTACTTTATCCGAGTTTCAAAGCTTAAAATTAATTCTGCTGAACACAGATTTGTTTCGCTATACGTTCGTCATCAGACCGAGACATCGACTCTTGCGAATATCCAAAACCGCGGGTGCGACCTTTTAATCGTTGAGGTGGAAACTTACAAACCATCGTTGTTGCGCACTGCAGCCGGACTCATACATGATTAATTCTGAACGCGTGTATCCTATGCAGTCCTATTACTCATATTACCGTATTATTAATACCGTATTTTAATGTTATAATTGCAGGAAATGGATTTATATAAATATATATATATAAAAAAATGTTAAAGTATGTTTCTAAAATATTTCAATATGCCACAAAATGTACATTCATTTTTAAATCTGCATTACAAGTATAATATAGTTGAAAATAATTAATTTTATCACATATTTTTATAGAAAAAAAGAGCTATGAAAACTTAACTACCATAGCCCTTGTAATCATTTTATCGTCACCATCATCAGGGTCTAAATTGTTACCAATAATATTAACAATCTCAGTCAATGTATAACAAAAGGTTAACCATAATTTAAAGTGAAAGTAAAATTATTTTATTTGCTGTCGAATTCATATTTATCGATTTACTCTGTTGTATGATCAGAATACTAATACGTAATGTTAATAAAAATGATTTATGAAATGACTGTATTAATTACGTGAAAAAACAATTAAAAATATGCAAGATATGTTATTTTAGTAAGAATTACTTAAACCGTACAAATTTCTAATTTTATTTCAAATACCTTATTTTGATATACGTACACGGATATGCATGTAAATCCGTTCCTTGTATTATAATTATAGGTAAACATGATACGCGTCAGGAAAGATATGACGGCCACGCAACGCCGACATTTAACAATATTTATAACTTTAACGAAAATATGTTATTGAGTTTGAATTCCCCTCTGTTCGATACGGTACTGTAGTATTAATAACCGTATTCATTTCTACCTCCCCAGCACGTACCCGTCACGTGTATAATACCTACACGTACGACTTGCACGCCGCAGAACTAGCTATTTCGAACAACAAAGAATATAAATTACAGCAAAACGCGTTGTTTCCGTTACGTTTTCGCGGTGCACCTGTCCGCGCGTGTATGTATTACACATTTATTGATATCCTGCGTGCATATTGTCTACCAAAAGCGCAGGGAATATCAATACTGCCGTCTGCCGTGACGGTAGATTTTATGCAAAACCTAGTCCTGTCGCCCGTACCACCTGCTGAAATATTATTACTGCGATACGCGTGTTGTTGTACTATTTTATTGAAAAGGATACACGACTCTTCGGTGAACGGAATCAACGTTTTCGGCGATATCTTGAATCCGTGTTGCGACACGAACAGCGTGTAGCAGTTTACGTTGTCCTTCAACGATTGACACAGAAACCTGGAAAACATCAGTGTAAATAATGTATACGACGTGACCATTACTGCAGATAGTAGCGTATATTGTCTCGCGAAAGAGGTTACTCCCCCAAAGAGGTAAACACTCCATCCTAACCGTTGCTGGTATCTTGCGTGAGTCATCTGATTCCACAGCGTATATCTCCCTACGAGGAACAGGAATTTACCTAATCTCCGCGAGACCGGATGCGGTGGTCCAATTTTTATGGACTCGTTTCTGTCTCTCCGTTAGCCTCGGGAGGTCAGCGCTAACCTGGGCCTCACCTGACGTACCATATACATTGTTAGCGTCATTGGTGGGACGTGCATTGAGGTTAAGTAGTTAAGAAGGGGTTAAGTAGTCAGAAAGCCTCCTGTGTTGGTACAGGATCCGTCCCGCCGCCATCACAGCTTACCGGTACCGCATTTGGCCACGGGATGCGGAAAGTGAGCCGAGACTGACGTGACACGCTACAGGCCACCCGTAAGGACGGGGACCCGAATTCGAGGGTCGATCACACCTCGAACCCACCAGCCTCCGCCGGCGTAAGCTCGCCAACGGGTTCGAGTAAATTTTTATCGCCAGCCGTCCCCGCGGCTCGTGGAGAGACCGGTATTTAACGTTAGTCCCGTACTACTTAAGACGAGGGTTCGCTGTTCGGAGGAACCATAATTACTATTTTCCGTCCTTCTACCCCACGACAGAGGAGTGTTTGAATTCCGTTATTCACAACCCTCGGACCCGAGCTAATGGTGAGAAACAGTGCTCCGGAACGTGGTTTCGCTAGATCATCACTACAGGCAGTCTTTGTACGAGGTACGATTTAACAGTATATTATAATAACAATAATAATAATTTATGAATACGTTAGCAGTGGTTTTCCGGTCAGGGATCTAGAGAGCAGCCGCCACGTTTGAAAACGAGTATAAATATTTGGTTGATGATATTTTATAACTACATGCAATGGTATCGCGTCGGCAAACGCAGTTCTGCGACGAAAAAAATGAAACAAGATCGTGGAATTAGTCAAATATAAGAATACATTATTTGAAATAACAGTTTGCGGCCGCGTTGAAAACCCAGTCATAACTATAAAACGTATGTATTAGAAAACAAAAAAGTATTACGCAATAAAAACACAATTATTTGTTTTCGATAGGAAATAACTGATCAAGTTTACAATGATTGAGTATAAAATTAAAATTAACATGCTCTTATCTTATTAGGACACGTTTTTATTATAGAATTGCGAGAGTAATCGTATGATTTAGACACTCTCGTCTATTCGTTGTTGGTGTCAGATAAAAATGTATTTATAAAAGTTTGTGTATAATTAGATTTTTCATGTAAATGATTACAAATGTTTAGAAACATACATATATTTATTGGAAAAAACTGAAAAAATACGCATATGTATAATTGTGTCGAGCTCTGCTGCTTAAATCATTAACGTACACCGCAGAGCGTAAGCCATAAATAGCTGCAGGTAGCAACAGTGACGAGGCGGCAGAACTATCGAGTGCCGGTAAATGGCCTACTTGCCCAAAGCATTCATCCCTCAAGTTAATCGTGTCACCCTACTCGAATCGGAACCGCTAATTTTTGAATGAGTAATATTTGTAATGCACGCGCGCGTTATTATTTACCCGTCTAGTATCTAATAATTATTTTAGACCGCAGTGCATCGTCCGTTCGTTAGTCATCGGTCAGTGTGCCCGCACGCCACCCCTAATTCGTTCTAATTTCTAATTGATTGCTTTGACGTAGTCCTGCTCGCACTGGTAAGCAGTACAAGCGAAGTTACGTTTGTGAACTAACGGTGTCCACTCGATCACGTTCTCACCGCAAAGCAACTATGGATAGGTATACGATTTCATTCGAGAGGGACAGACTTCAAACAGAGTTCAGCATAGGGTTATACCGTTCAACGACGTATTGTCGGCGGTAGCCTTATGTTTTTGATGTTCACTCCGTTACGTTTCTCGAGAGGAAAACGATAATTTCTTGAATTATTTAAGAGAAAAATCGTTGAATTTCAAGGGCTTCATGTCTATGCCCGGAAGGGCACAGAATCACTGTCCCCTTTGCCACGAGTCTTGATACAAATCTTCAACGCAAGAGAAAATCACGAATCTGCGATTATTCAAAACGTTGGACGCGGTAATACTGATGGCGCTGCAATGGTATAGCAGTATGAACGCGCAAGTTATTAGTCTGCACTTGTACTCGAAGAAGTCCTAAGAACGGTACCGTGACGGGGAAATTAATTTCAGCAAAACAAACGGGCTGAAGTTTTAAAAATTCGCTCTGGAGCGACTCGCTGCATTTTTGTGAACCTTTCGGTTAAAAAAAAAAAAATTGCTTCCCCCACGCCCAGACTTTCCTTGTTAACGTTTTTGGCCGGTACGCGCACATAACTATTATTATCATGGCGGCTTCGTAAAACTACCCTTTCACCACCCCTAATGGTGTATCGAACGCACAGGACAAGTGCTGTACACTCACACATGACGTGCAGTATCACACGTGCGTACAAGCGTTGCGTCATTTCGTCGAGGCAGTGTCGTGCATATATTATACAATAGATGTTGTACGCGTCGTCGACGTTGTATCCGCGTGTGGCTGTTTCTCAGTCACAGGACTGTGTTCACTGATATCACCGACACAAGTCCATATCGCTGGATGTATATATATAAATAAATATATGCCGGCATTGCGTGTGTTCAGAGGTAGAACTAGGAATTTTCACGCCCGGGGAAAATGTTAAAATTACGTCCTATCACAGACCAATAATCGAATACTTTTATCGAGAATTTTTTTCTAATAACTAATATACAATCATACATATTGGGTTTTAATCTAATAACAGTATTTAACTAAGTTAAATATATCAAATTAGTTGTTAATAATTACAAAAATTACACCCTCTATAATTTTACGCCCGGGGATAAATCCCCGTCTTCCACCCCCTAGTTTCACATTTGCGTGTGTTACACTTTACACTATATATTGTACATAAACTTGCACCGCTATACGTTTGCTATTGTGTTCGCGTCGTGCACATCACACGATTGCACCCTCGGGTTGGCGCACAGTCGTATGTACGTTGTTCCGATCCAATTGGTCAGCCGACTATGCGAACGTGCATTGCGGCGCACGCACGCAGGACCTAATTGTTAATCGTGAATGCCGAACGTGTATACCGTTGTATGATGTACGAATGAGATGGGTTTCGATAAAATGTATTACAAGTACCTGTCCCACAAAGGATCCAAATGAGTTTAGGGTCGGTACACGTTGTCATTATTATTCTTATTATGATTGTTACGTGTGCGTACGAGAATGTCCTTATTTATTATTATTTCCCCTCCCCGCTTTGTTTTTCGTTTCACGAAAACCTTCCTCGCTACAATCAAGTATCCAGGGTTTCGAATAATTTACCGTACTTATACCGGTCATAAATCTTATTATTATTATTATATTAAAATTTGCAACGCCTACAAATCATTTTTTGCCAATTTTCTGTAGTATTATTTTTTCTTTATTGCGCTACGAAGACAATCTTATGAAACATTTTGTGTCTTATTGTGAGAAATTGTTGTCAAAATATTTCATGAAAAAAAGGAAAGGGAATATACCAACTATATAGCAAATGGTATTACGAAATTTCAGTGAAAATGTTTAGTTTCTACTAATTCAGATTCTGAGTGAAACGAGTAATATATTGGTCTTCCAATTATGCATTTTATTGTTGTGTTTGTGTACATGATTTCCACCAGAACGACTGCTCTGATCATCAGTTGTTAACAATTTATGATAGGAAGTGTTGTCTAGTTGGTACTTTAAATTAAGTTGATACAGTTTTCCTAAAAATAATAATTGCTAAATACTGACAAGTTATAAAAATACTGAAAATGAGTGGCTTACTGGTATTTGATACTCAAAAAATAGTAATCGTAGTAACATTAAATTTTCATCGTATGCTTTTATATAAATTTGTTATAGATGGTATAATTTTTTTTTTTAGTTTGTAAACAATTGAAATGTTCGTGTTTTCTTAGATTTTTTTTAGAAAATGTGAATAAAACAATTTTAGTTTGATAAAAAAGTTTTAAAATTGAATACATAATTCCTTATAAATACATATTAGTAATTAAAAAAAAAAATTGAACTTAATGACGAAAAAAAAAATGTACGAGGGTTTAAATATTAAAATTTAATAAAACGATTAAAATTACAAAAATCCGCTACATTGTAGTAGTAAAAATGGTAAAAATTAAAAATGTTTATATTTTAGATTGGAAAATGTGATACAAGATTTTTCGTTGAAAAAAAAAAAAAAAATAAAAAAAAATAGACATTTGCAAAAATGATATTTAAACATTACAAAAAAGATGTTGACGAAATCTGATACGAGTATTTCAACGAATTGTCATGTACACACATTACAGTAAAACCAACACATTTCTCGTTTCACTCAGAATCTAAAAACATTATTGTAAAACTGTTTCATTTCCCATTTCGATCGGAATTTAAAATACCAAGAGATTATAATATATGAATTATACATATCAATATGTGCATATAGATTGAAACTGATTAATTGTTTTCAGTGTGTAATGTTTATAGTGGCGTATACAGTATTTTTCTTCCGAGGGGAAGGTAGAGTGCTGCTGTTTGGTAACGGATTTTATCCTAACCCATCAAATATTGCTGCGGACGATGATAAATCGCCTTAATATATGGATTTTTTTCTATAACGTTATGTGTTATTTTGCAATACTAACTTCGGTAAACCCAAAATCTCTATGCTAAAATTGTTTAATATTATACAAAAAAGAAATACAAATAATCAAAGTAAATGTACAAATTTTATAAGTATATTATATTATTAATTCCGATTTTGTAAATTATGTATGATAGATAACCATTGATGTCACCAGTGGCATAACAAAGAGGGACCAGAGGGTGCGGCTACACCTGGGCCCGTTGTCATGGGGGCC